ACACACACACACACACACACACACACACACACACACACACACACACATACACAATATTTTCACAGGTACACATATAATGAATCTTATGTGTACTTTTTCTAGTAATTGTTTTTTTTTTTTTTTATTTTCTTTTCGTTTTCTTGAATGAACAATGCGGTTTAATTTAATATTAGTTTATCAATATTCTATTTTCTTTATAATATAAAAATATGTATATATAAGTATATATATATATATATATACCGGAGGTTTATTATGTACCGCTTATAAATTTTTTTGTAGTATTATTACTTTGTATCATACAACTGTTTCTGATTACTGTCTGTACTATGACCGAGAGGCGGAGCCAGGAGTGCCATAGCACAGGTTACACCTAGTTTGGGCTCCTGTCTCCCATTTTCATGCTCTATTTAAATTTATTTTTACATCTATCTTGTACATTTTGGGAGAAAAATAAATGATATTATTATTATTATATATATTATATTATTAATTGTTCGTTAACCGATTTTAATAAAACTTGGCACTTATATGTAATTTCAATGAAAGATAAAGTGACCTAGAGCTGATGCACACCACACTTCTTATCTTATCGCTAGCGACTGCGTAAAATGTTTGTATACAAAATGTTGTTTCTTCTTGTGACCGCTAGAGATGCTGTACAATTTGTCATACAAAAATGTGAAGTAATTTACGCGGTCGCTAGCGACAACCATCAGCGCCCAGTTACACGACGCGAAAGTTTTCGATAACCGCCTTAATAGCGAATCTGAATTTTATTTACTAAGGCAACAACATTTAAATTCCCCAGAATAATACAATCGCGCAGTAGCCGCGTTGCCGCCGCGTAGACCAAAGACAAGCCAGGCTCGCCCGCGCATCTGGGACGCTCATTTAACTTAAAGTATAATCACAGTACAGAGTACTAAAAATACCGATCCCAGAAGTACGTGGAATTACATAAAATTACCAAGTTTTATTAAATTCGGTTACTGGAAAGTGCGCAAACACGGATTCATCCCCTAGTTCGCCACTATAAGGGACTTACACAGGAGATAATAAAAATCGGTTCTCACTACTCAAAGTATATTGAGAGACAAACGCCTTGAATTGGAGAATAGCAAAATCAACCATTAAAAACCTTTGTTTCTATTATAAGAAGTTTAAGTGACTACAAACTTGATACTTTTAGCAACTTTTTAACTGCCCAAAATATGAAACATTTATTGAATTATTGGAAACATCAAAAAAGTGTTGTCGCGTGTGTAAATGATTTCTATTCTAAAATAATCCCTATGCTAAAAATGCGTGAGTTCAGTTTCAGTTTGACGTTATCGGAAAGATTTACAAATTCTACTCCATCAATATACAAAACCATTCATTTCTACTTCATATAGACTAGACTGGACTTCATAGAGTATTTTCATTGTTTAATACGAGTAGTTACGCTGGATTCATAGATCAACCACGGAGTAAATTGGTTAGACTGTGATTCAAGAGTCTAAACCAAAATTTCGTCTTGTATCAGATGGTGCTGATCAATAGCCTGAAAGCAGTTTACATCATATAAGTGGCCGTGGATAACAATTAATTCATCTATAATATGAAATATAACAAGAACTCAGTTTTTTTCCTTGTAATATTATTTAATACTGATCATGAGCTAAAATTATTTTCTGAACTTTGACAAATATGCGTGTCATTAGACGATGGCATTGTGTGTTACAAACAAATTTATAAATTAACGCTTTCTAATACCGGTAGATGGAGGTAATCCTAAACAAAATATAAGAAGAATATTCGGCACCATCCATAAGATTTTCGGCAATTAGCGCCATCTAGTTGATTTTTTTGTTATCATTAGAAATTGGAGAAATTAGCTTTGATAAATTGCAGCTTGTCAATATAAATTAAATTAGTTACAAAAATTAGTTGCGACAACTGGTTTACCAATAGGTATTAAGTACCCGACTATGCCGCATGCCCTTACTAACAAACGGCAAAGTTTACCACTTGAAAAATTGAACCAGTTTCATTGAAATTTATTGAATTGATATTCAATTATTTTCTGTGAAATTACTCTACTACTTTGTTATAATTATTAATATAAAGATCGAACACTTAGAAAAAATACTTCGATCCGGCCGGACTCGAACCGACGTCTTTTAACAAACCATGCCAGAGGCTATGCCGACTAAGCTACGGATCGAAAAATCATAGATTTCTCATAGATGGAGCTACGGCTAAAGTCGTTGAAAACCAAATAGAAAGTTCCCACAAACATGCACATCTTCATTTAGTTCATCGGCATCGTAAACGACTACACAGTTACAACAATGTTACTGCGAAAGCAAACTATGTAACAAAATGTAATAATTATTCAAAATGTCGTTCTGAAACTGTACATTTCCACGAATTGTAATTTTTAAGTAATTCTACGTGACAAATTCCAACAGAGTGAAATAATTTCGGCACGGTTCAAGCGTACTTTTTTTGAAACCACAATAATGTCCGAGGGGTTACACGCCACCCTTTCTGTGGTTAAGGGTCACTACGGAAAGGAAAAGGGATATGTAATAGAACACATTTGGTAGTTCATTCCATTTATTAAATAAAATGCTTGGACAAAACATTTAACCTCGTTTATATATTGTCACATGTAATTGGTTTGACGGTTCGTTTACTTTGTAAGTGTTGCCTTTTTCAAGTCTACGTTTTTTTCTGTAGCATATTACTTGTATGTGTATTCTTGCTATTAAATGAAGGAGGCTTCTCACCGTCTGGTTCACAGGTTTCGACACACGGTTAACGATCGCCGAAAGCCACGCACCGGTTCAGCCCATTTCATATGAATAATTAATAAATTGCAGAATGATAATCCAATTGTCGCGCATTGGTGCCACCCATTTTGGTGCAAGTTCGTACGAGGTGATCATTGACTTACAATTATATGGACGTCGGGTCCGCGCTAAAAAGTGTCCGAACTTATAGGGCGTTAAAATCGTATACAGAGCGTCATTCACGCTTTAGTCTTCGTTTGTTCGACTGACAGCGAAGCAAGCAAAATTAGACAGTACTGTGATGACATTACAATTTAAATTCAACGTTTTAGCTTTTTCTTATTCCCTTACGTCACTACGTTTAAATAGATAGGATGACTTGGGACATTTTTTTCGTGGTTTTTGTATTAGACCCGTCGTCCATTTATTTGTAAGTCAGTGGAGGTGATTAATAAATTCACACACCGTCTGAAGCCGTGGTATTTATTAAAAATAGACCATCCAACCATATGCGTTAAAATGTCAACTATAAACAACTGTACTTAGAAACCACCTATTGCAAATTTTAAAATGCGAATTGAAAAAAAAAATCTCACACGTGTTATTAAAACTTTTACTGACTATTAGTAAAATTCCAAAAATTGAGATAAAGAAAATTGAGATTGAGGTAATTGTACCTCATTTCGGAACCTCAGTTAGGCTGTATATATATTATGTTACACAACGAGCTTTAAAAAATCACGATCGACTGATTTCCGATTTATCGAGCGTCATCTCTGTCACTCACAACTGTGTGACAGAGAAGACACTAATATAACAAACGAATAATTTCACATAAAAAATAATTGAATATCAATTCAATAAAAATTTTAATACAGTGAATAGCGACATCTCTAGCCAGGTCTGGTAGCTGTAAATGGTGACGAAATACTTTCATAGATTTCTAATAGAGAAGACACTGTTTTATGGTTAAGAGCGATGCCACACGAAGCTTTGCGTCGGCGTTGCGACGCGACGATGACGCTGCATTGTACTACATATAAATTATAACTACATGCCATATAGTGCTTTGAAACGGCGATAGAACGTGTGCTCATCGGACAAGGGGCCTGGAGACGAAGAGGAAAGGGGTGTTGCGGTGCGTAAGGAAGAGCTTTACATTGCGACGGAATCGGTGTTTTGCAAATCCAATTATAGGGTTGATAGTCTTTTTCTAATAAATTTCCATCAGGTTATGAAATTTAATGACCTTGCTTTAATGTACGGATATAATGCATTTTATGAAACCTATATATTCCTTTTTATTAATAAAGAATATCAAAGAAAAATGGCTCACTATTGTAATCAATATTAAATACTAATAACGATAAGTGAAATCAAACATATTGAACTCTATTATGTAACGCATTAAAAGTAACATAAAGTAAACAAATATTGGAAATATTATCAATATTGTCTAATATTTGAATGGTGGCCTTTTAGAAAGTATTTGGAGCTCAGGATCTAGGGAATCTACTCTGAAGTTCAGTATTATCCATTTCTGTTTATGCGAGTCTGAGCACTTCTTTAACATGACGCCCCATTTTTTGGGTTGTTTTGTTGTTCTTAAACATAGAAGATTCCGCATGTTCATGATGTGGTGAGTCTAAAAGAAAGTAAATATGTTAATCTGCAGCTAAGGGAGTCACCACAAGTATCGACACTGACATAAAAAAAAATGTAATAAAAGCGTAAAGACTTTATGCGTTTTGCTTCTGCGCGGGCGATTCCGATCGAATATGAAACGCTTGACGGCTTTTTCGTAACCTAACGTTTATTAAATATTAAAAGAAAATGCTAATAGGGTCGAAACACAAAACTGCGATGCGACGTCGTCAGAAATCTACGAGCTCGCACGACCATTCGCTAGAATTCGCGAATTGCTCCGCAACGCGCATTCCTGTCATGTTAATCTTCTTTGTGTTTTTTCCTACACTTTCTTATAGCAGTGCAACACTTTTTTTACGGTCCTTGTTGCCACTTAGTTTAGAAAATAAGTTCAGTACGGTTGATGATCGTCGAAAGTATGGTTACCCGAACCGTGGCAGTGAGTTGCCTTGCCGCACGAATCGCATCGCGCCTATTCGCAGTTTTGTGTTTCGACCCTTAAAAATGTTATTATTCTATAGAAGACATATTCATAATACGCACATATTCGAATAAGTATTCGTGGACTCTATGGATATAGTAATATTAATTATACTTAGAATACTAAAAATGTCCCAATTACCTTGTTTGGTGTTGTTGTTGTTATAGTTTGGATTATGTAAGCCTGATCTCAAACTAGGAAATTCTCTATACTATAAGTACCAGAGCAACGGAATTAACTCTGGAGTACTACTATGGGGACACAAAATTTTCAATAAAAATTTTAAATAACTCCTTACTCCTTGCCTATAAAAAAAATATTAAACCAGTACTTACAGAATCCTTGTATAACCACATTTGACTTTTTAACCTGCTGGTACATAAGTTCAGCACTACCTTCAGATTCTCGTCGTAGTCTAAGCACCAACGACCTTGTTTGATTTCGCCTTGTCTCGAATAGACCCAATACTGTACGAGATAACATAAAAATAGCAACTATTTATACGGTATTATGTCACCTGCACCTTATCCTATAATGAATACTATGACTTTTATGCAAACAAATAACAAATAATTTATTAAGATGATTTCATCCATAGCGTTTGTAACTTAATCTAGTTTTAGTTTGTAACTTTGAGACGTACACGCCGATAACTCGGCGAGAGACACCACTATCAGCTTGATGTTATACAACCAGCAGTGGTCATAAGGTGTTTAATTTTTCTAAAGATGTGACTTTTCTGTAGACGAAGACGGTGACTTTTTCATGTGACTTTCCTTACGCCCCGAGTCTCAGTGTTGTAGAAGATAAAATGAATTTCAAGAAGATTGGATAATATTTAGGGGTAGCACACTTTGGTCTATTTTATTTCATACTAGTGAAATTTCGAATATTTAAGTGCTTTGCACTAATGGGTTTTTCATGTATTTCTTTAAATTTTTGTAGTGTAATTGTACTTTAAAGTGGGAACCTTAATAGTAATTTGGCTATTAGAATACCTATCTACCTACCTTTTAGTCAGTTTTTAGGATCTCGGAGTGCCCAAAGGAATAGGATTGGACGACAACAGAGAACATCACATACGTCGCACTGATCCCAAAGTAAGTAACTAAATCACTAATGTCATTGACTTACAATTATATGGACGTCGGGTCTGCGCTAAAAAGTGTCCGAACTTATAGGGCGTTAAAATCGTATACAGAGCGTCATTCACGCTCTAGTCTTCGTTTGTTCGACTGACAGCGATACAAGCAAAATTAGACAGTACTGCGACGACATTGCAATTTAAATTCAACGTTTTAGTTTTTTCATATTCCTTGAAATGTCACTACGTTTAAATAGGATGACTTGGGACATTTTTTTCGTGGTTTTTGTATTAGACCCGTCGTCCATTTATTTGTAAGTCAATGACTAATGTTATGAAAATCGGAAACAATGACGCTGTCACAAACAATTGCTAGAAGACACTTTCTACTAACGGAAAAAAACGTAAGATTGGTTGTTTTGGACTGGAAAATACGGTTAAAAATGTAGAAACCAAAGGTACAAATAAAAAAGAAATGAAAAGATGAGATGTCAAAAAGTTCGATTTTGCAGGAAAAACCTGGAACTAACAGGACACAAAGACTGTTTGAATTGTTTGGCTTCCTCGACGTCACAGAACACTTGCAATGAATCTCTAAGAAGCCATGTGAACGGTATTAAGGTGGTCAATAGTACGACAGATAGAGCTTGAGACATAGAGAGAAATTGCTCGGATAAAAAAGTTTAATGGATCGGTCATTAACGTACAACAAAAACAAAATTCTTCTTGGGGTTAGTAGTATATCACAGAAAAGTCATCACAACTTTGTGTTGATTTTTCTGTGATATTATATGTTCACTTGAACATTAGAAGGGATGAAATTGGAAAATTAGAAGGGATATCGTTCAAAGTGAAATTACAGATACATGGGGCTTGTCAATTTATGTCTTAGGGTGCTGTCTCATGATGGGCGCAGTGTTAGTGCCCCTCAGATCTTTGCGATTTAAAGATCTGAGTGGCATTGCAATTGTTACCCTGGTGTCCCTTACCACCAGGCGCACGACTTATTAATCCTGACGCTTGATATCACATAAAAAAATTTTGATTAATATATTATATACCACATCTTTATTAGCGTCTTGTTTTTATATAATTTTAAGTTCGTGATTTGTAGTTTTCTCAATAAAAATAATTAACATTGAAAAATCGTATTTTTGCCTACTTTTACAAAAGTGATCAAAGTATGCAACCTCTAAATATTATTCAATCTTCTTGAAATGTGGCTTATATGTGTTTTACATCACTGAGACTCTTTGCGTAAACCAAGTCTGCAAAAATTTTACATTTTAAATTTTGCCTAACAAAATTAACCATCCTAATGGTCAACCATACGAACATAGCATAGGTATGAGCCAAACAATCGTCTCGGGAATTTTCACATCTACCGTATTCTATTTAGTTTGTACATTACATTACATAATTGACATAAAGTTCATTACGCTATGTATAATTCCGTTGCAAAAATTAACTTCCATTCCGTTTCGCGGCTCAATGTGAATTAGGCCAATGTACGTCGTTCCGAATCCGAGACCACACTAATCTAGAAAACTCGGGCCCACTTCGACGTCGCTTGTGTACCAAGTCTGATTCGAATCCGAGAAAATACGAACATCGCTTGTACACCTAGTGATAAAATGATCCCTATGACATTTTCGAATTGTAAAAATAAAGCAGAACCGCGGTAAGTTAAGATGTTCCATATACATGTTCATGGATGGTAACGGCAGTTACCGAAAAATTAAATATCAGATTATAATAGTAGACAAACAATCCGAGCCCGAGTGGCTTGCACACCGATTTTCATGGTGTCGCGATCTCTGAGGTCACGGAGTCGATCTTCAGCGAGGCCAGCGTAGGAAAACTAACCTTTCTAATTTGTCTCGGTTCTGGGTTTTAGTGATGTCGTCGTTGTTTCCGATTTCCATAACACAAGAGATTTAGCTGCTTACTTTGGGATCAGAACAACGTATGTGATGTTGTGTAATATTTATTTATTATTGTTTATTTAATAGTACGGGATACCCTGTTTAGCTATATGGATCTCAAAACACCACCTTCGGGTTTTGCAGTGCGGTTTCCAAGTGCTTTCTGTGTAGTTGCCGCCTAGTATTTCTCCATAGAGAAGTACCAACAACGTGCTGATAAAATTCAATGATTTACATTGAACATTGAATCAATTTAAGTAATGTGGGTTGTTTATGGGTGGGTTAATAACGGAAACACGTTGTATACTACAAAGAAACCTCTTTTAATGTATCCACAGGGTGCACAAGTTAAAGTATAGATTGTGTGCTTTGAAAAGTGTAATCGCTTCCGTTGTAAATATGGTAGTAAAAAAAAACGAACATCCAAAAAGTAACGCACCTGATTTCCACCTTCCTTGTAACATTTTGTCAAAATAACGTCATCTCCAGTACGGTTTTGAGGAACCGCTGAGTCCAAACAAAGACGCTCGTTGTTGATTATCTGCTTATTAATAATAATATAAATACAAATATTGTGTTCTTGCGTTACATAACACAGACTATGCTTTTTAAAAGTAGTTTTACGTTCAAGGAGATAAGATAACTAATTGTGCATGACGCCCATAATGGACATCTGCGAAATGACAACTTTTCAGGATAGAAATTTAAAGATTCTACGAACGAAATTGGTCGATAACTTTTAGAGCGGTTACACAAGGCAACTTTTAGCAGCGATGCAAACGCGATGCACTAGTGATGCACTCGCTTATCTTCTAACTTTATACACGCGCGCGATTTTAAGTGGCGATGCAAACGCGATGCAACCGCGCGACTGCATCGACACAAACGCATGATTGCATCGCTACACTTGGTATTTATAGGCGATAACATCGATGCAGTCGCGCATTTGCATCGTTGCTTAAAGTCGCCTTGTGTAACCACGCTTAATGAAAATAAAATTCCGTACGTTCAATATAGTTCGTATTGCGAAATAAATAAAAGCACTTTTGATATATTGATTGTAGCAGTAGAGCTCTTTGTGAAAGAGTTCGTTCAGGTTATTAATAAAAAAACAATCAAGATTTTATTTCCTATTTTGAATTTACACTTACGTTTCCTCGGCCAGCGAAGTTACTAGGTATTTCCATATGTGGATTAACGTTTTTCAAATACCATTCAAAAGATCTGCAGTTCAGTTTCTGTCTTAACCGTTTTCTTTGATCTACGCTTCCGACATTTCCTATATTATTACCAATTGTTTCGTAAAAATATTTTGCATAATCATCCAACCATACCTGAAATTATGTAGTATATTAATCCACACAAAAAACATGTTTTTCCCATAAATATATATTCGAACTGATGCGAACTTTTTAACGTATTCGAAAAATATTTATGGATGATACTGATTTTGAAAATAAATACCTACGATAATACGACAGAAGAACTGACCACAATTACAATGTTTAAATTCAGGCCATATTGGTACAACCATACGTTTTTTTGTAACTTTTTTTTTATATTTGCACATTTCACCTACATCTCACCTGATGAAAAGTGACGATGAGGTCGACAATTTAACATGTGCATGTTAAATCCTCATAAACCTGAATAATGCCTATTTACTCTCGTCTTCAAGGCCTAAATTATATCGTTCGGGAAATAGATCTTAACCGTTCGCCATATAAATGTGGATGCGAAATGGTTCGTGCGGATCATTGGAATACAACAACATAGGGGTGGAATCCCAGCCTACGTCTAGTCCTCTGACGATGGAAAGGGGAAGGCGGAATTAAATCGTGCAATTCCCTCTTACATTTTCTGTGATATATCCTGTACAGTACCGTTCAAGGCACTCCAGCTTCACCTTAACAATTCCGAGTTACCTATAATCTTAAACTGTTGGCACGCTTTTCTGTTCCATCCAAGGTGACCAGTTGGTATTTAGTAGAATCATCCGATAGGTGGCAGCAGTACCTATCCCGTACACCTATTGGTTAATAACATTGCTACGTTGGATCAGCCAAGCAAAGAGAATCTTGGCCTCCGACACCAATATGCGCTTAGCAATATTCGTTTCAAATTATGTAATTTTCAAAAATGAAAACATAAAAGTTTCAACATAAGTTTAATTGTTTCCAAGCTTACCTGAGCAATACGTATAGCGTTTTTATTGTCAATCATCTTGCTTTTCTTGTAGAAAATTCCTTTTCTCGGCACGTGACCGACATGTGAACATGGTAATATTTCTACTCTACCCCCACACATCCATGCTTTAAAGGACAATTCCATATTTTCCCGTCCAAAAATATCAAAACCTTCATCATAGTACCCCAAATGCGAAAAGAAGTCCTTATCGATAGCAAATATTCCACCTGGTAGCACAGGACTTGCACGAGGCTGTGCAGCGTGAGTCAGTTTAATATAACGTTCCCGAGGTAAAACGTTCCATACAAAATTCAATTTCCAATCAAAACCACCGATTTTTAAATCATTTATGTCTTCAGGTTTATATTCGAAAGTATTTCTGTCTATTTCGTCTATAGTGGGACTTGCAACAGTGGTTGGGTTTCTCGCTATGCGATCGAGAAGAGGCTCCAACCATCCTGGAAAGTATAAAGATAAACAAAGGATACTTTTTAAATAAAACGCTTCAAAGTAACGTTTTATGATTTGCTTAAATTACCTTGAGTAACTTCGCAGTGACTGTCAAGAAACACAATGACTGGAGCTTCAGCGGCTTTAGCTGCAAGAACTCTTGCTTTAATAACGCCCATGTGATCATCGCCTCTTAACAATTTTACCTTGGGCAAGTGTTTTACGAAAATTTCTAAGCGGATCATAAGAGGCACTGTAAAAATGGAATTCGGTTAAAAAATTCATTCGATTCGAATAATGTTGTTATTTTTATTAAAGTGAGCGACGTTACAAAGAAATGTCTTTGATGTTGTCTATAAAACTTATGTAGGAGTGTGTTCGTTTCTCCTATCTGTTAATTCGAGACTCGAACCCGAACTACGTATACTTGAAACTATGACAAGAAAGCGAAAGGAAGGAAGAAAGATACGCGGAAGCTAATGAATAACATTATTGAAAGGAGTGCAAAGGAACTTTACTTAACGAAATTAAAAATTACAAGAACAGCGTAAAAATACAAAGCAGCATAAGAATTAGAAAGCGCGTCTGTTTCCAAAGCGAGAAGCAAGCAGAGTGCGCAGTGTTGGGTTTTAAAGCGATGAGGTGCATGAGGTCGGGCGACCGCCCGGCGGGGGTCGGCTGGCTTGCAAGTGAAACAAGCGATGGGCGGCGCGGAATCGACGTCACTCATCGTACGATGTGCAGGCGCCGACGTCATTGATCGTATGATGTTGGTGTGGCCTCACTTGTAAAGCGATAGCGTTTTGCTTATGGAATGTGCGCCACACTTAAGTTAAAACATAGTACACTTACGCAAATATGAAGAGTCGTCCATTAATATGATTTCTTTTAGTAAATAGTCTGGTGTTCTATGAAGTACCGAGTGTATTGTTCTTAACAAAGTCGACCATGCTTCGTTGAAAAAAGTTATCACAACAGATACTTTTGATAAATTGGGAGCATAATGATATGATTTACACCTGTCAATGATTAAATTTAATTTCTATTCAATTTTAATCTGAACAAAGTATGTCTATATTTCTGTAATTAAAATCCGAGCTGAATTGTAATAATGCACACCACAAATTATACCAATAAACGCGTGTGCAATTGGCATGACTATACAATGGAGCTAGCATTTAACATTGAATAAAGAAAAAATATTATTTGGAACAAGTTGTAACTACTTTTTCAGGGGTTTTTCAGCCGTGATTGCCTCATGGTTTGACCTCCCGTTTCTCAAGTAGGGGGTCGTGGATTAAAATTCGGACTTGTATCTCTGAGTTTTTGGGAATTTATGTGCGAAATTTAATATAATTTGAAATTTACCAAAGGTTTTCGAATGAAACATCGTGAGGAAACCCGCTGCAAACCTCTTTCCAATCAGTATGAGGCTCGCGTGGGAACTACAGTCCAAGTCTGTGCTCAACAATGGGACTATATAGGGTAACTACTATACTAAAAGTATTATATATTATTAAAGAAATTAAGAGGTGTTGAAATGCTTCGTGAAGGCTTTGATGTAGGCCAAATTAGCTTAAAATTATAATATCATGCGTTACGTTATTGAACAAAGATCTGTATAACTTGCCATTTGTCTCTATAATCTGGCAGTGAACGATTCTCAGCAATCAAATCACTAACATAATCATTGAAACCATGTCTTTGATATCCTGTTTTCACCATATACCTCAAATTTCCTTTAATTTTGCTATCGTCAACAAGAAGAACTCCAGTACCGTTAGAGCCTGCGAAAACATTAAGGGCGATTTTAAATTAGACGCTTATAGAAGCGCTACAGTGGCGCCATCGTGGCGCTGTCGTGGC